GGTAGTACCTCCCTGGGTGGTTCCTGTCTACCAACCTACTACCACAGGACGGTAGACCCTCCCTGGGTGGTTGCTGTCTACCAACCTACTACCACAGGACGGTAGTACCTCCCTGGGTGGCTGCTGTCTACCAACCTACTACCACAGGACGGTAGTACCTCCCTGGGTGGTTCCTGTCTACCAACCTACTACCACAGGACGGTAGACCCTCCCTGGGTGGTTGCTGTCTACCAACCTACTACACAGGACGGTAGTACCTCCCTGGGTGGCTGCTGTCTACCAACCTACTACCACAGGACGGTAGTACCTCCCTGGGTGGTTCCTGTCTACCAACCTACTACCACAGGACGGTAGTACCTCCCTGGGTGGCTGCTGTCTACCAACCTACTACCACAGGACGGTAGTACCTCCCTGGGTGGTTGCTGTCTACCAGCCTACTACCACAGGACGGTAGTACCTCCTGGGTGGTTGCTGTTACAACCCCTACCCCCCAAAACGGACTACCTCCAGGGTGGTTGGTTCCCGCCTACTTCCCACGGACGGTAGTACCCCCTGGGCGGTTGCTGTCTCCAACCTACTACCACGGACGGAGTACCCCATGGATGGTTGCTGTCACCATTTTACCAAGGACGGTATTACCCCTGGGGGGGTTCTGTCCCCCAAACTGCTACCACAGGACGGGAGTACCTCCCGGGTGGTTCTGTTTTTCCAAACCCACTCCACAGGGGCGGTAAATACCCCCATGGTGGTTGCTGTCTACCATCCTATCCACAGGACGGTAGTACCCCCCTGGGGGTTTCTTCCCACCTGCTCCCCAGGACCGTAGTACCCCCCTGGGTGGCTGCTGTTACCCGCTACTACCAAGGCGGGAGTACCCCCCTGGGGGGTTGCTTTTACCCAAACCCACACCACAGGACGGGAGTACCTCCCCGGGTGGTTGCGTCTACCCAAACCTACTACCACAGGGGGGGTAGTACCTCCCTGGGTGGTTGCTATCTACCAAAACCCACTACCCAGGACGGTAGTACCTCCCTATGGCGCTTCTACCAACCTATACCCAAAAACGGTAGTCCCCTGGGGGGCTGCTGCTACCCCCTACTACCAGGCGGTTACCCCCCCCGGGTGGTTTTTGTCTACCAAACCCATACCACAGGACGGGAGTACCTCCTGGGTGGGCTGCTTCTACCAAATACTACCCCAGGGCGGGGGTACCCCCCTGGGTGGTTGTGTCTACCAAACCCTACTCCCACAGGCGGCAGTCCCCCCTGGGTGGTTCCTGTTCCCAACCCTACTACCACAGGACGGTAGTACTCCTGAGTGGTTGTGTCTACCAACCTATCCCAAAATTATATATATATATTTTTATATTATATAATATATAATATTTAATATATATTTAAATATTATTTTTATTATATTAATTATTTTAAATATATAATATATATAAAAGGTATATTATTATGTTATATTTTATATTTTTTATTATATATATATAATATATATATATATATAAATATATATATTATTATATATGGATGGGGCCCACCTTGATGTAAATTGTGGGACCTACCTGGAGAAGTGGATTAAAAGGCTTCAAGGAAGAATATTTGGATTTTTTCTGAAGCTTTTTTGAATATTCCCCCCCCTACCACCCATGTTTCATTATAATATATATATTTTTTTTACAAATAAAAAATATTTTATTACATAATAGGGTACAAAAGAATTAAAGAGATACATTGTTGACATAAAGGTGGCATAAAAGGCACATTTTGTTATTTTTTTTTTTATCATGTTTATAAGGCGAAAAATCTCATCCAGCTCCTCAGAGCTTGGGCTTTTGTCCCAAAAAATACAGCGGGCATTCCCCCTTTAACAGCCGCACGGCCCGGGGAACAAAAAACTATGCCTGGGACCCCTAGTTCCCCTGATGAGTCTTTTTCCAGCCCCTTTAAGGGAATTTTAGTGCATCTTTCCCCATGAGCCAAGGGTTTCCTGGCCTAGGGAAAACAAACGTATAATATGGGAAGTTCCCCATTTTTTCTAGACTTTGGGATCCTGAAGTGGCAGCTGCCCCTCCTTCTTCCCTGGTGTATTGGAGTAGGTATCACCCAAGGTAGTGACTGTATAGCCCCAAACACCTGCTTCCATCTGTCCGGCTTGAGGGTGTCCCATTGAGCTTCTGGCTCCCATCGATCTAATAGTTGGGGTGGCTCCCTTACTGTGGGCCCCGTGTTGTGAGGCTATTTGAAAATGTTATTAACCCCCTCATGTCTTGAAAATTTTCCTCGGATTTAGGAAAACAAGCCCTGGTACCCAAAATCGGGCTGTGCTTCACGCAAAAAAATAACCTGTGTTCGGCGAGAATAGGGGGGGGCAAGTCGAAGGGCAACACCGTGCGGATGGTTGTGGGTCGAGGCGTGTCCCAAGGCTGGAGTTGGGAAAGCCAACGGGAAAGCCCCCGCATGAGGGGCTTCACTCCCAGGGGCGGGCTTATCTTCTCGACACACTTGAAGCATTGTTGAGGAATTTTTCCCCATATTGGCCCCCCAGTGCGTTGTTGTAGTTGTTGGGGGTGAGGTCTGGTTTCGACCCCGTTGATTACCCCGATCAGCCCCGTAATGAATTTTTGGTCCTGGATCAATCTTGCCCCTAAGATGTTCAGGGGAGTCGTT